AAAAGAAAAGAAAAAGAAAGAAAGAAGGGGCTGCCTCTAAGTGGCCCCATGTGAGTGAGTGTCCTCCTCACCCTGCTGGCCACCCAGCTCTTAATTCACCCTCAGAACCTGCAATGCCAGTTACCCTGCAGGCATCTGCCCTGCAGGACCCCCACTCACAGCTCCGCTGTGGGCCAGGCATTCAGCTGGTTTCCAGGAACACCACACACAACAGGGTTGCAATTGCCATGTGTGGTGATGCACGCCTGTAGTCCCAGCACTCAGGAGGCTGAGGCAAGGGGATCACTGCGAGTTCAAGGCCAGCCTGGGCTACACAGTGAGTTCAAGGCCAGCCTCTAGTGATCTTGTCTCAAATAAATATCTATATTTCCACAGTGTAGACAAGTAAGAGCATTTTTACAGAGAATGATACTGTCAGTAAAACATGTCTCCTGATATCACCACAACAAACAAATTTCTACCTGACCATGCTTTGACTGTTTTTGACAGTTATGCATCCACAGACATGATTGGTGGAGAGCATTATATTCTTGGACTTTTAGATACTGTAGGCAAGAGAATTGTGACAGATGACAGCTGCTGAGCTCCCCACAGTGAAATACATGAATGGACAAAGTTTGCAAGGAAACTTTTCTCCTGCCAGTTACTACTTTGTCTGCTCAGCACAGATTGCAATCTTTTTAAATTTTATTTATTTTTTGTTTTTTTGAGACAAGGTCTCTCTGTATAGCCCAGGCTGGCCTCAAACTCACAGTAATCCTCCTGCCTCAGCCTCCTGAGTGCTGGAATTATAGGCGTGCACCACCACACCGGCACCAGCTCCAGAGATAGTTTTATATTCACTTTAAATATTTTAAATTTGATGTTGATTTCAGCTTCTCCACTGGGGTGTGGCACAGTTTGCAGGGTCTCCTTGGCTGCCGGACAGGGGCACCCCCAGCCTTTTCTTTTTGAAATAGGGTCTCACGCCATAGTCTAGGCTGCCCTGGAACTCGCAACATAGCCCAGGCTGGCCTTGAGTTTGCCATCCTCCTACCTCAGCCTCCCAAGTGCTGGATGTACATAGGTCTCTTTAACCGCGAGAAACTCCTATGATGATAACTATGTGCATAGTTGTCATCCTCATTTTTTGGCTGAGGGAATTGGGCCACAGAGAAAGCGAGTGACTCGCCCAAGGTCGTCCCAGGATCTGCGATTTAGACGTGGGCACCTGGCTCCTTCATCCACCCTCCAGCCACTGCCGCCTTCGTTTGAGGTGTGAGAACAGTTCTGACAGGAGAGGGCAGTGCTGAGGACAGGGAGCTCTGTGGGGCTGATCTAAGCGGGCTAGATTTTAAGAGGGTACCTCAAATGCATCGCAGTCGGCAGCTGTCAAACCCAGAGGAAAGTGAAGAAAAGAGGAAGTGAAAGGTGTGCTAAAAGAAGTGAGCCGAGATACCCGGCTGAAGGGCAGGGCCGGGGAGGAACTGGAGACGCAGTTGGAGTCGCGGTTGAGGCAGGTTATATAGCATCTTATCACAAATTTTTGTTTGTTTGTTTGTTTGTTTATTTATTTATTTTTCTGGTACTGGGAATCGAACTCAAGACCTTGCGCTTGCCGGGCAGGCGCTGTGCCGCTGAGCTAAATCCCCAGCCCCTATATAGCATCTTGAAAGTCAAGATGGGGCACTAGGAGTTCATGATTTTAGGAGGGGCAGCACCGTGAGAGCCAGCTTTGGGAGTTGGGAAAATCGTTCCCTTATCAGCAGAGCGGGTCAGAAGCAAGAAAGGACGGGGCGGCGGTGAGGAAGGGCCCTGCGCACCCCGAGAGCCTGCACGGGGCTTCCGGAGGGGGATCGCGGGGCTGCGGTGCCCGGAAGGACTTGCGGGTGGGCCGCCTGGTCCTGGGAGGGGTAACCGAGCCCTGCTCTCGCGCAAGCCCGGAGCTGCTGGTGTCCAGGACACTTCGCCTGCTTACACGCTTGGCGCCTGACCCGGCGCGTTTCTCCCGCGGCTCTGAGATGCTTATGGGGACAGTGTCCTTCAGCTGAGAGCCGCAGCCCTTGCTCCAGGGCAGCCTTGGTAGTGTTGGGTGTGGCCGGATGGGAGTGTATTCCAACCCCCTGGTATCACAGGCGAGCACCCTGGGGTTCGGAGAGGTCAGAGGCCCTGGGAAAGTCGGGGGAACGCCCCACGGCAGTGTTCTCTCTGATACACGCCATCCTTCCACCTGCACCGCTTCTCATCAGTCGCGCTGTGGTTTAGACTCTGATCTCTAGGACTGTAATTATGGTAACGATGGCGGTCCTTTGCTTATCAGCTCTGCCAGGCTCGGCCCTTGGCGCTTTATTGCCACTCCTCCCAGCAGCTCTACAGGACGGCGGAATTTCTCATTTCACAGATGGGGCAATGGAGGGGTGGAGGGGGACGTGCACAGCGCAGCAGCGAGGTGTCCCCTCAGAGGGTGGAAGGCGCCTGCGTTGACTTCCAGAAAGGGAGGTACAGTTTGAAGGAAGGTGGGACAGGGGACAGCCAGCCTGCGTGTCCCTGAATCCCTGTCAGCCACTGCCCTCCTGGGGTGGCCACCTCCTCATTAAGTTTGGACAAGTTGTTCTTTCATTGTCACCGGTCCGTGTGTGCGGTGCACAGCTGCAGGCAGCGTGGGGAATCGGTGTGCACACACAGCTCATCTTAATTCTGGTAAAAAAAAAAATTTTTTTTTTCCAGTACTGGGAATCGAACTCATAACCTTGCGCTTGCGAGGCAGGTGCTGTGTCGCTGAGCTAAGTCCCCAGCCCCTGCTCATCTTAATTCTTTTTCCTTCCCTGCCTCTGCACTCCCTCCCATTTGCAAAAAATCCATCTCACTGTTTCCTATTATTTGTCTTATGTTGGGTTTAGTGGACAAGGTTTTGAGCCGCTCTGCCCCTCAGTAGCCTCATAATAAAAACAGTGGTATTTTCTCTCCCAGGAGTAAGTGTGAAATGAACATACACAGAATGTCTTGCTTGTCCTGTTTCGGTTTGTCTAAGTTTTAATTTTGAGAGGCCACTGTGGTTTTCAATTTCAGGAGACGACGTTTCCGTCCACTATGACCCCATGATCGCAAAGCTGGTCGTGTGGGCTGCGGACCGCCAGGCGGCCCTAACGAAACTGAGGCACAGCCTCCGTCAGTTCAACGTGAGTGACCTGGGGCTACGTCGATGACCCGGATGTCTTTGGTCAGCGTCCGAGGTCGTCCTTTCACCTTCTCAGAACCTTGGTCTGACCTGCAAGTGTCCACCGACTGTGTCACAAACAGAATACCGCCACATGGGGGAATTTCCCATGGGTTAACGTAGAGTTTGAGGACTTCTTGATTTCAGTTAGGAAAGAAAGATTGCAGAAGTAAAACTACTAGTGTCAGTGTTATATTTTAGTGAAGTCTAGTCATTGTATAAATAAGGCCAGCTGCATGCGTGTTACCTACACTCTGGTGAATTTTCTCCAAAGGAAAATAATTATGTTCAGTTTTATCCACTTGACAGTTGTTTTTCTGCAGCACATTAATTTCCATGGTGCAGAAAGTCCCATACCGCACTGATTTAGCGCCATAGAAGGATTTATTAACACAAGGTATTAAAATTGGCATATGTTATTCATTTCATCAGACCACACCAGCCTCCTTCCATTCCTCAGGCGTCCCCAGCACGGAGTGGTGCGCCTGTCCCCGCTCTTCCAGAATGTTCTTCCTCTGTATGATCACAGGCTGCCTTCTGACTGTCTGCAACCCTGCTACTTCTCAGACTCTTTCCTGGCTGTGTCATTTAAAATAGGGCCCTTAGCTCTTCTGTGACCCCTTACACAGTTTGAGGCTCCTCCGTGGAACGTGACATTATGTTAGATGTTTGCTTCTAGATGGCGGTCATTACCTGCCTTCTAGAATGTAAGCCCTGTGAGGGCAGGGACTTCATTTGCTGCATTCCTCTCTGTCTCTCTCCAGGGCCTGGATCAAAGCCTGGCACCTAAAAAGTGCTCAGTGAATGGCTATTAAATGAATGAAGGGTGGGGTATGTTGGCACATTCCAAAATCCCAGCACTCAGTAGGCTGAGGCACGAGGATTGCCTTGAGTTTGAAGCCAGTCTGGGCAACATAGTGAGTTCAAGGCCAGTCTAAATTCCATAGAGGCCCTATCTCAAGAAAAAAAAAAAAAATCTATATATCTATCTTGCAAATTAGTATTTACCGCTTTCCTGAGTCAGATGTCCGCATACTACCTACTACACTTCCTTAATCCTTTCATCTTATGAAACTGTGGTTGTTAATCCAGACAGACAGTGATGGGTATAGTGATCCCCCCCGCCGTGGGACCTTCGTAGAGTTTTCATTTTTCCTAAGAGTTTTCTGAAGTAGAAAATACTTAGAAAAGAAGAGCAGATGCTTTTCTGAATATGTTGTTTTCCCCACTCAGTAGGAACCGGAGTTTTGTTTTTTTCTAGATTGTCGGCCTGTGCACCAACGTCGACTTCCTGCTCCACCTGTCTGCGCACCCGGCCTTTGCAGCCGGGGACGTGCACACCGATTTCATTCCTCAGCACCACGAGGAGCTGCTGCCCAGCAGGAGGGCAGTGGCCAGTGAGCACCTATGCCGGGCTGCCCTGGGCCTCGTCCTGCAGGAGAAAGCTGTGACCGATACTTTCACTCTGCAGACACAAGGTACAGACCCTTTGTGAACCTGCCTGTGCGCGTTTTCCTGTCTGCCGGGAACCGACACATCCCCCAGGCGTGCTTCGTGCTGTGAAGGAGAGCCCTGCGCAGCTCACGGCTGTGTCCTCACGCAGTCTGACCTGTAAGCGTAGCTCACGGACCCCCTGGCCCTGCAGAAGCTGGTTCTTCCTGTGCGTCTTGCTGATGCCCAGTGGCTTCTGTGCTCTCTCTCTGGCCTATTCTGTTGAGTCCTCTGTACCTGCAGCAACTTGCTTGGTCCCAGCGGCTCAGACAGAACACGGGCTGGGGTGGTGGGTTCCCTCGGGTGACTTCTTCTTTTCCTTTCTCCTTCCTGTGCTTTTCTTTTCTGTCTACCTGGGGACTCAAGTACTTCGTGGTGTCGTAGGATCTGGACACAGGAAGGGCCATGGCCAGGCTTATCCTGCCTGCACACAGGCACCCCTGCCTCAGCACCCCAGGACGTTGTTGCCGGGCCTCTTCCTCACACCGCAGGAAACCGGAACCTCCCTGCCTCCTGGGACAGCTTCCTGCAGCTCACTCGGCTCTCTTTGGAGAGTCCTTCCGTCTGAATAGAACCGAAAGCTGACCTCTCCCGTGCTGGCTCTATAATATTTACTTAGGCTAACTCTGACCTTTGGAGCAACCAGAATTTTTTAAAAAGTCAAATCCATCTATCTCTTCTTATTAGGGTTCTTGTGTTATATTTTCTTCTCTTACAGGATCCTGTTATTAGGACTTTTAATTTCTAGATACATTCAAGATAATGATATTATAAGCTTAAAACAACTGCTTCTTTTCCTTCCTTCCTTTCTCTCTCTCTCTCTCTCTCTCTCTCTCTCTCTCTCTCTCTCTCTCTCTCTTTCTTTCTTGGAGACGGCATCTTGCTGTGTAGTCGAGGCTGGGCTTGAACTCACTTTGTAGCCCAGGCTGGCCTAAAACTCATGGCAATCCTCCTGTCTCAGCCTCCCAAGTGTTGGGATTACAGGCCTGCGCCACCACACCCAGCTGCATCTTTAGATTTGTGTTCAGTTCTCATTTTTTTTTTTTTTCCTTTTACATTATATGAAAATGCATCTAAACATCCCCATGTGTTTTCCTGAGGCTGAACTTAACATTTTTAGAATGCAGGGTCCTCGTGCCCTTACCTTTCTCTTCAAATTTGTAACTAGCACAGAGATGAGCTTGAAATAAATGGCTTCAGTTCAGTTCTGCTGTGTCCCCTGGACTTTGTTCAATAGCCTCTAAGGCTGGACCAGGGACAGAGAAAAGAGGCCAATGGAAGGAGACCAGTGAGTAGTAAAGGTTTTGGTGACCTGGGTGCGTTTGCCCCCTCGGAGCGGTGAGCACTCTGCATTCACACCGCCAGAGGGTGAGAGTTCAGGTTGCAAAATGTTCAGATTTTCCCAGAGGAGCTGGAGTTTTCCCTATGAAATTTTCTGAGATATAAACGAAAGTATCTCATTTAAATTTAAAACAAAAACAAAAAGACAAATTATTTGAGCTGCCGGCATAGGGGCCGTGTTTTGTTTTCTTTGGTAAGATATAAAATAGTAAATGTGATACTTGTAAATTTGTTGCTGCGTCTTAAATTTTTTTCTAGATCCAGTCTCTCCGTTTTCATTCAGCAGCGGAAGAAGACTGAACACCCGATATACCAGGAACCTGACTCTTAGAGATGGTAAAAGAAGTAAGTAGTATCTCACTAAGAGAAAATCGTGAATGACAGAAATGTATCACATGAGTCTGCAGGAGAGTTCAGCTTGGTCCTGACCAGTCAGTTACAGTTTTGTAAAGGCCTGGCCTGCACAGTGAAAGGCAATAAGCCAAAATTACAGTTGATAGGCTCTGGTAGTAAATGAATGATATTTATTTTTCTTTATATGTCTGTGTTTATAAACATTCTCAAAATATGTCATAAAACATACGTAGCAAAAAAAAAAAAGGAGGCAAAAATAAGACATAATGCCAAAATGTTAGTGAGGTTATTATGGAGAGGTAGGATTTAAGGCAACTTTCCCCCACTAATTCTTTGTACTTTTTTTGGATTTTTGAGACATGGTCTCATTGTGAAGTTCAGGCTGGCCTTGACCTCACAGCAGTCTTCCTGCCTCAGCCTCCTGAGTGCTGGGATTACAGGTGTGTGCCACCACGCCCGGCTACAGTGTATTACTTTTAAATAAGAAAAACAATATGCAAAGCTATGTCAGGGAGGGAAAATTACCCATTGCTTGGGCAGTATTTCCTGTGGAAGTGGGTCACTAAGAGCTATAATTTATCATACGCCTTGTCACATGTATGTTTTTATCTCCACAATGACTTAATGAGGGGGGTGACTGTTACATCCACCTATGATGATGACATTGAGGCGCAGGTGAAGTCACTTACTGAGGCTAGTAAGGTGGCGGAACATTTCCGACGCCCTTTTGACATCAGCTTGTGTACTACTGCTACCACTTTTCCAGTGGAACGTTCATCTTTTATTGCAAACCAGTTTGAGGAGGCCCAAGATAGGGGCGGATGCATTTTAACTGAGCTCAGGAGGGGCTGACACCCGAGTGGAGTGTTCCACAGGGACTCAAAGCCTGTGAGAGCTGCGACTGCGCCTTTCTGCTGCACGGAGGCAGGGAAGGGTGTGGCAAGCCAGGTGGGCACAATCAGAGGTTTGAGGGGTCCTCGAACTGGGACAGTGCCATGATAAAAATGTGCCGACCGAGGTACAGCAAAACCCCCTTGCCAGCAAATCATTATACCCTCTTCTCTGAACAGAGTAGAATCTTCTTTATGTCAACTGCTCGGTAACAACTTCTTCATTTACAGAAATTGGAGCGGGCTATTGTGGCGCACGCCTGCAATTCCAGCACTTGGGAGGCTGAGGCAGGAGGATTGCCACAAGGTCAGGGCCAGCCTGAACTACATAGTGAGACCCATATGTTTTGATTGGGCTCCAGCTCTTTAGTTGTTTTGTCCTCCTGAGCCCAGATGACCAGTACCGGGGGCACGCTGGTTGTGTCACCAGGCCTGAAGACTGTGCACCCTCGCCTTACATGACGGCGTGCACAGCGGCTAGCCGGCCACCCTAAGAAGCAGCCTCCAGACTCTGGGACTGTCTCACCCTCGACTCCTCTGTGCTGAATACCGGGGCGGGAAACCGCAAGGTGTCACTGGCCTCGTCCACCTGAGTTAAACAGAAGAACGACACTCAGGACTTAATTCGGTTAAGCCAACTGTGTTCTTTGGCATAGATCTCCAGTGAAGTACTGAGTGGTGGGGCTGGGGATTTAGCTCAGCAGCACAGCGCCTGCCTGGCAACCACAAGGTCCTGAGTTCAATTCCCGGTACCGAAAAGAAAAAAAACCAAAAAAGAAAAAAAAAGTACTGAGTTGTGTATGGGGAATAAAAGAGGTTGAATTTTAAATGAATTTTAAATGAATAAATACATAATCAAGAATAAAAGAGGTTGAATTTTAAATGAATTTTAAATGAATAAATACATAATCAAGAAGCCAACATAATTATTGTTCAGTAAAGACTTTTGGCAGTGCCCTACAAAAATAACCTCGGTCTGAGTGGAAGAGCATTTAGAAATGCATGGTGAGTCTCTGACAAGTGCTAAGCCCCAGTGACCACGGCTGAATAGATTGTACCAGACGGGGAGCCCAGGGAGACCGAGGCACAAGAGTGCAAGGTAAAACAAACTTTTCACCATCTCAGTGAGAAGGACCAAGTTGTGTGCTTGTTTGTTTGTTTATTGAGACAGGGTCTCATTATGTAGTCCAGGCTGGCCTCAAACTCACAGCGATCCTCCTGCCTCAGCCTCCCAAGTGCTAGGATCATGCCCAGGAGGATCAAATATTTTAAATACTGTATTCAAGACTTGAAAATTTTTCTGACTTTATTATTGGCCATGTTTTTCAGAACCTTGCCCTATCCTCAATAAGAATAATATTGCCAGGTATGATGATGCACACCTGTAACCCCAGCACTCAGGAGGCTGAGGCAGGAAGATTGCTGTGAGTTTGAGGCCAGCCCGGGCTACCCATTGAGTTCAAGGCCAGCCTGAACTGCACAGCAAGACCCTGTCTCAGATTGCCCTCCCCAAAGAATAATATTGATTTTTGTTATCAAATATGAGTTTTGAGCATTTGCTTTGCCTCAGCGCTGTGTTAAACTCTTTCCAAAGATTGTCTCATTTGAGTTTTCACAAGAGGCCTGTGAGAGCAGTGTAACTGTTGTCAGGTTCATAAATTACTAATCTCTCCAAGCCAGGGCCAAGGCTTTTGTAGTTCTCCAAAAGCCGCACCAAAGTAATTGGTGGAGCAAGGATTTGAACCCACAGTACGGGGAGGGCAGGCATCCCTGACCCTGCTCTAAGCTGCCACCCTTATTAACTGTTTAAGAGTGTGTAAGATTCTCTAGTCAGTGCTAAGAGATGTATGGGGAAGGGAGAAACAAGTTCTGTTGCCTCACAATACCATAAAAGAATGTATAGGGGGTTTTGGTTTTATTTTCAGGCACTGGGGATTGAACTCAGGGCCTTCACACTGGCTTTATTTTTCATTTCGAGACAAGGTCTTGCTCATTTGCCCAGGCTGGGTAAGCACTTGTGATACTCCTGCCTCAGCCACCCAGAGTGCTGGAGTCACACACAGGTCTGTGGCACCATGCACAGCTAAGAATTTTTCCAGGCAGTGAAACTACTGGCATTTGTATCGGTTAAGTACTTTTCATATTTTTATAAATTAAAAGAAAATTAATCTGGTGTACCTGGAGGCATTTTCTTTAAATTTAAAGCAAGTTGACAAGATGCGGGGTGCAGAATTTTCATACACCCTGTCGAAAGTGTCTGAAAGGAAAAAAAGCATGCTGAATGGTGTGAAGAGAGGACAAAACGTATCTCTGTCCCTGTGTGTTCTATCAGTGAATTTGCCATTTGGAAATAAATGTGTTGGAAGAAAGATAGTATAGTGGTTAGTAATGCAAGCCCTGGAGTTAATGTACTTTTGGTTTTCTTTTTCGTTCCTATTTTCTTTTTTTTTCTTTCTTTTTCTTTTTTTGAGACAGGGTCTCACTATGCAGTTCAGGTTGGTCTTGAACTCACTGTGTAGCCCAGGCTGGCCTCGAACTCATAGTGATCCTCTGCCTCAGCCTCCCGAGTGCTGGAATTCAGGCGTGCGCCACCTCACCCGGCCCCACAAAACTTTTGATTTCCAACTCCTAGGATAGTCTTCAGCCAATTCCTTATCCATGCAGTAATGAGTAATTTCTTCTGTAGCCCGTTGCAGTTTATAAAGCGCTCACATTTATTTAATCATTATTATATCCGCATACCCATTTAATGGTCCAGTAAATAAAGGCTCAGAGACCTGGTGACTTGGTCAGGACCACAGAAGCAGTCAAATGGCAGATTTGGGTCTTAAACCAGATGGTCTCTTTGCTGATTCGTTGTATTTTCTGCTGTCACACTGCCGTCTTTTTGTTGCGGGGGCTGGGGGGCAGGCTCTAAAATAGTCTACAACCTTAAACAAGAAAATTTTGATGTTCATCTGTACTGAAACCTGCCAGACAGATGCTTTTTTAAGAAAAAGAATTTTAAAAACCCTTTATTTCCAGGGAACTAAAAGATGTTAATGTTGATGTTTCCATGAACAGCTCGTTATCTTAAGCTTGAAAGTGAGATCTTTGGCACCTCCGTTACTGAGTAAATATCTTCTAACTTTAACTTTTCAATTTCCTCCTTTCTCATAAAGATGTGGCTGTAGCTGTAACTTATAACCATGACGGGTCCTATAGCATGCAGGTAAGCCACAGTAAGGTTGTTCTGTGGGTCAGGCCTAAATCTGATCTTTCTCCTGCTGAGCGGGATCTTTTTACTGTGTAGTCCAGGCTGCCCTCAAACTGTCAGTGATCCTCCTGCTTCAGCCTCCAGAGTGCTGGGATTACAGATGTGTGCCACCCTGCCTGGCTGACCTTAAACTTGTGATCCTCCTGCCTCAGCCTCCTAGGTCACTGGGATTACAGACCTGTGCCACTGTACTCAGCCCTCAGCACTCTTAAAGAATTACTGAGATGCCCCTAGCCTCACAGAGCTTTAATTTCTGAGTTACAGCTATTGATATTTACCATTTAGAAAATTTTATTTTTTTAAATTATGGTAAAATATGCACAACATAAAATACTACTTTAATAATTTTTAAGTATACATCTCTGTGGCATTAAATACATGCACATGAAAAATAAATACATACATACATACATACAGTCATATGGTTGTACAACCATCACCATCCAACTCCAGAACTTTTTTAATCTTACAAATTCTGAAATTCTTCACTCCTGTAATGTCAGCACTCAAGAGGCAGAGGCAGGAGGATTGTCACGAGTTTGAGGCCAGCCTGGGCTACATAGTGAGCTCAAGACCAGCCTGAACTACCCCGTTTCCCAAAAAAACGATGACTGAACTCCTACAGCTATTAAACAGTGTCAATTCAGTTTCCTTTCCCCTCGGCCCCCAAGAATAATCATTCTGTTGTTTCTCTGCATTTGACCTCTTTACCTCATAAAAGTAGAAAAACAATATTTGTCCTTTTATGACTTAGTATAATGCCTTCAAGTTCTTTCAGTGCTGTAGCATGTGCCAGAATTTTTAAAAAGCTGAACCATATATATATACACACACACACACACACCACATTATATATACACACCACATTTTCCCCCGTCTCTGTCTCTATAGATCACCTTTTCCTTATCCTTCCGTCAGTGGGTGCTGTCTCATTCCCACCTTTAGCTATTGGAACATATGTGTGCAGATGCCTCTTTGAGGCTTTGTTTTAAATTCTTTGGGGGAGGTGTGCTCTTTAATGTGAGTTAAGAGATTTCAAATACTTAAAAATAGATTTATCAGTGGTATATATTAGACTTCTCAACACATTTTAAGAAGCCACTTTTGTCTCTGAGGTTCAGAAAAACCATGGGGAACTTACTTAGTATGTGAGAGTTACTAACTTTAGTATATGAGAGTTGCCATTCACCTTGGTGCCTCTGGTTTGGGGACCCTTTTTTAAAAAAAAAACAAAAAAAAAACAAACAGGTCTCGCTATGCATTTCAGGCTGGGCTTGAACTCATTATGTAGCCCAGGCCGGCCTTGAACTCATGGTGATCCTCCTGCCTCAGCTTCCCCAGTGCTGGGCTCACAGGTGTGTTCTACCATGCCCAGCAGGGACCCTTTCTTGTCCCCTGGTAAATGTTAAAGTAAAAAAATTTAAAAAATTTTTTAAATGTTAAAGTACATTGCCTAATTTGTCTTAACCTGTTCATGAGATTAATTCCACAAATTTAGTGCCGGGTGTGGTGGCGCACGCCTGTAATCCAGCACTCGGGAGGATGAGGCAGGAGGATTGTTGTGAGTTCAAGGTCAGCCTGGGCTACACAGTGAGCTCAAGGCCAGCCTGAACTGCATAACAAGGCCCTGTCTCAAAAAGACCAAAAAAAAAAAAAAAATCCACAAATTTAAAATGTGCTTTTGTGACTCTTTAAACAAAACCATTTGTAATCTAACCTTTATGCCCTGAGAATTTTACAGACATTCCAATAGCTGTTTTTACTAGGTTACAAAGAAGAGTAAAATGCCATAGTTAACTTCAGACAGTGTCTAAGTGTTGCAGTGAGACCTATTTCACTGCAGCCTTCATAATACATCTGAAAAGAACAGCCATACCCTAACATCATGGGCACTGAAATGAAAAGCAAAGATTTTCTGTGCAGAAGGGAAATTTTCTTCTTAAGTAATATGTGAGAAAATATTTTTTTCTCGTTTTATTTTTGTTCCTCGAGATTGAACCTAGGGCCTTCCCACTGAGCTACAGCCCCAGCAACCCACTCCCTTTCTGAGACAGTTTCCATAAAATGCCCAGGTGAGGCTTGAACTTGCAGTCTTTCTGCCTCAGCCTCCCAGAGCACTGGGATTATAGGCATGAGCCACCACACCTGGCCATGAGAAATATTTATATATGAATGTGTTTTTTGTGTTTTTCTGAGAGAGGGTCTCACTTTGTAATTGAGGCTGGCCTTGAACTCACTACGGAGCCCAGCAGGCCTCGAACTTACAATGATCCTCTGTCTCAGCCTCCTGAGTGCTGGGATTTCAGGTGGGTACCACTATGCCCAGCTGAGAAAAGATTTAAAACAGAAAGACTTTATGTTCTTTCATCAGCTTCCTTGAAACATTAAGTACAAAAATCTGTTTTTTTGGCCCATAGACTCTTGGAGTGAGGGAATCATGATCAGTCCCCGTTTAATATCTTCCTAAATCCTAATGAAGCTCATGAATTGGATTTGCACGCTGATGAGATGAAGGAAATAACCACCTAACTGTGTGTTCTGCCTCTTCCCCTTGCTGACACTGATAAAGAACAGCTGAATTTCACTTAATCTCAGGTACTCAAAAAACGAGTACTAACCTGTAATATACCCTAATAAAGGTTAATAATTCTGCTTATTTTGATTTATATTTTTATTACACATTTTTATTGCTATTCTTTCTAATTGTTTGGTTTTGTTTCTTGTTTCTGTGTTTTGAGACAGGGTCTTGGTATGTAGTCCAGTCTGGCTTTGAACTCACTGTGTAGCCCAAGCTGGCCTCAGACTCACTCTGTGGCCCAGGTTGACTTTGAATTCATGGAGCTCCTCCTGCCTCAGCCTCCCTAATGCTGGGATTACAGGCGTGTCCCATTACCTCTGGCTTCTTTCTGTTCTCAAATGAACCTTTGTCTGTAGCACTGTGCTACTATGGACAAGTTATATAACTATTTTTTTTCTTTTAATTATCTTATCGCTTATTCTTTGTAAAGTATTGGGTGATTCCTACGTGGCTTTTTGAAAAACGTACTTTATGTATTACCTTTTGAAGCTGCTGATGGTGCAGGCTGAGCCTGGTGGTATGAAATCCGCAGGACTGCTCGGTTACAAAGGTCTTAGTTTCCGGGTCTTTCAGGTCGAAGGCGAGACCTTCCGCGTCCGCGGCGCTCTGCACAGCGAGGGAGGCTGCACCCGCCTGAGCAGCTGTGTGAACGGCGTCGTCAGAAGGGCGAAGCTGGTGACCCTGGGGAGCACCATGCACCTGTTCTCCACGGTGAGCGCCCCACCCCGGGTGTGGAAGGGAGGGACCTGGCCGAGGCTGCCTCAGTTGCCCCTCTCCGTGTTCCTCCCGCACTCCTGCCTCCCCTAATTTCCATCTGCCCCTCTTGTTTTTCACGCCGATTCTCACCGTTAGACTCACGGGGTCTCACTGTGTGGCCCAGACTCACCTCGAATTTGCGGCGATCCTCCTGCCTCGGCCATCACGAGTAATCCCGAGTGCCGGGATCCCAGGCCTGCGCAGCTCCTGGCCACACCCCCATGTTCTCCTGGGAACTTGGGAGGCGGAGACCCTGGAGCGGATGGGGACCAGGCAGCCCCCTGTGGGAGGTGGGGAGACAGCAGGAGGGGGATGGGCGCGTGGGGGTGGGGTCTCGGGCTGAGGACTGGCCAGAGGGGCTGTGGAGCTGGTCCTGCAGGTGCAGAGCTGGGCAGGTGAGGCTCAGCACGCCCACCTGCGCGAGGAGCACCACCACGCCTGTTGCATTACTCCCTTACAATGGGAAACCCAAACAGAGGTATCTAGTAAGGTGCTTAAGGTCACAAAGCTAGAGTAGAGAGCCGGGCCTGGTGGCATCTGCCTTCAATCCCAGCACTCAGGAGGCTGAGGCAGGAGGAGCAGGAGGTCAAGGCCAGCCTATACTCGCAGGGAGCCCCTGTCCAAGTGAATAAACGCAGGATTAGAACCCTGGCATCGATGATGAAAAGTGCCAGGATCTCCAGTGTATTCCTAAGAATTCAGTGGAGGGGTCTGGATTCCATTTTCAGTTTGTTCTCTTTTTCAGGAAGGAAGCGTTGTGGTTGATGTTCCGGTGCCCAAATACTTGTCTGCAATGAGCTCAGAAGGAGCTCGGGGAGGCACCGTAGCGCCTATGACAGGAACCATCGAGAAGGTAACCAGGTGGCAGGTGCAGAGCGGGCCCACGGGGCTGGTGAACGCCGTGGGTGCCCTCTGTCGAACCCCTGTGTGCTCCGTCCCGATGGCTCTTGCTCGCTGGAAAGCACCCACTCCAGGAAAACAAAGGGATCCATTATGGATCGAGTTCTGTATTTTACCCTTAAGCGAAAATAGCTGTTTACCTAACTTATGATAGAGCCTACACTGTTTATTTGGTTGGGGTGCTGGGGATCAAACCCAGGACCTTGTGCGTAGTAAGCCTGTGCTCTGTCGCTAAGCTGTACCCCTAACCCAAGGTTTCTGGGTTTTTCCTAAATATTTTTTTATTTTAATTTTTATTAGGCGTGTGCCACAACATGTGACTCAAATTGTCTTTTATTATTAAAATGGAGCATTCAGCAGGCATGGTGGTCCGTGTCTGTAATTCTAGCACTCCAGCACTCAGGAGGCTGAGGAAGGAGGATTGCTGTGAGTTCAAGGCCTGCCTGGGCTATACTGTGAGTTGAGGGACAGCTTAACTTACATAGCAAGACCGTGTCTTAAAAAATTTTTTAAAAAGGAGCATTCACCAGGGAGTATCTCCCTAAAGATATTTTTTATTTTATTTTATTTTTTTGGTACTGGGAATCAAACTCAGAACCTTGTACTAAACCCAGGCCGCTAAAGGTAGTTTTTAATGTTAAACTTTTGTTTTGTTCTGTTTTGTTTTATTTTGAGACAGTGTTTCGCTGGCCCTGAGCTCACTATATAGCCCAGGCTGGCCTTAAACTCACTTCAGTTCCCCTGCCTCAGCCTCCTGAGTGCTGGAACTATAGGTATGTGCCACCATGCCTGGTTTGGGCCTTTTAGATAAAGACACTAATTCCTTACCATCTCCCAGAGGACCCAACTCAAGTATGATCACTTTAGGATTAGGATTTCTCTTTTTTCTTTTTTTGTCTTTTTGAGACAGGGTCTTGCTATGCAGTTCAGGCTGGCCTTGAGCTCACTTTGTAGCCCAGGTTGGTCTCAAACTCGAAATGATCCTCCTGCCTCAGCCTCCCAAGTGCTGGGATTACAGGTGTGCGCCACCATGCCCAGCAGGATTAGGATTTCAACATTCAAATTTTCAGGTGATGCAAACATTCAGACCTTTTCACAGATTGACACCACTTCGACCAGGGATAGACCCATAGTCTCCTCCCGTGCTTGGGACCCTGGAGAGTTTCCCCAGATGCACTGAAGTCATGAACATTCCCATGTGGATTCTTGGCAGCAAAGAAGAAAGGAGAAAATGACTGCTGACTGTGTGGGTGGTTTCCCCCACTGTTCTCTGGAATATCTGCCCCCACGGCAGAGTGCCCGGAGAGACCCGGATCTGGAGCTCCCGAGGCCTGTCATAGTGACATCCCTGCGGGTGGGGTTCGTCTCATGTTTAACGATAGATATTTTCTTTTTTTTTTTTTTTTTTTTGTCTTTTCTTCCGGTACTAGGAATCGAACTCACGACCTTGCACTTGCCAGGCAGGTGCTTTTCCGCTGAGCTAAATCTCCAGCCCCCAACGATAGATATTTTAAAGCAGATGTCGTGGTGCTCACCTATAATCCCAGCATTCAGGAGACGGAGGCAGGATCACTGAGTTCAAGGCCAGCCTGCAATGTACATAGGGCAACCAGGCTCACCTGGGAGGGTACGGAAGAGACTGAGGCGGGGGCCCTCGAGCCTCGAGTTCAAGATCAGCCAGGGCAACATCCCTGAGTAGGACCCCATCTTGGAGGAACAAAAGCCATTTTCCTGTCACTGACTCCAAGGCCGGGCAGCGGCTCGAAGGGGCAGAGGCGCACCCTGTGATGCCAGCACTGCGGAGGTGGAGTCAGGAGCATGGCGGGGGTTCTAGGCCACCCTGGGCCACATGGCCCGACCCTGCCTCAGAGCAGAGCAAAGCAGAACAGAAAGCATTGCTCAAGACCGGGTGAGTCGTGGGGCCTTCAACAGTGTTGCCCCCCTCTCACAATTTAAGCTCTAGACAACAGCTTTATTTATTTATTTATTTATAAGACAAGGTCTGTCTATGTAGATCAGGCTGGCCTTGAACTCATGGCAATCCTCCTGCCTCAGCCTCCCAAGTGTTGGGATTACAGGCATGTGCTACCATGCCCCAATCACAATGACTTTAGAACCTAACTCCACTCGGCAGTGTTTCTAAAAATCCAAAGTTAGTCAACTGGGTACAGTGGTACACGCCATGGTCCCAGCACCGAGGAAGGCTGAGGCAGGAGGATCCAAGTCCCACCTGGGAAATTCGGCACGTCCCTGACTTAAACAAAGAAACAAACAAATCTGGGACCTGGGGATGTATTTCAGTGGTAAAGCACCCCTGGCTTTGATCCCAGTACCTAAAGGAAAGAAAGAAAAAGGAGGACCATAGATGAAGCATGAGTTCATTTATACATGTAAAAATAAATATAGACATATTTTTCTGGGGTTGCTGATAAATTTAATTCTCTCACGTGAGAATTGTCTACATGCTTGACTACCTAGGGTCCTGAAGACTTAAAACACTATCCTAGACCCCCAAACTAAAAACCAGTCAAACCAGGCATGGTAGCACATGCCTGTAATCTCAGCACTCAGGAGGCTGAGGCAGGAGGATCGCTGAGAGTTTGAAGCTAGCCTAGGTTACATTGGGAGTTCAAGACCAGCCTGTCTCAAAACAAAACAAAAAAGAAAACCAGTCAAGACGCATGTCTGGAAAGGCACATTTATGTCTGTTAGTCCTTCTCTGTTGGCAAAGTGTCTTGCTTGTACATTCATAAAAAGGACCAGAAGAATGCAGAAGGCCGAGGAAGTGAATTCGTGTGATTCAAGCAAAGTGGATGGCTTGGGAGGCAGAGACGGGGCCAAACAGCGCTGGGCCTGCAGGCTGCAGCCTGCAGTGTCAGGTGGACCCGGGGTCTCAGGCTTGCACCCGTACCTTTGCTTTGGCAGCTGACACACCCACACGGACACAGCTTCTGCTCAGTGCGTTTGCGTTCTGGCTCTGCAGACCTTGGAGGACCTCTGTGTCCTTACGTATGTATTTGTCTCTCTGAACCTCCAGGTGCTTGTGAAAGCTGGAGACAAAGTAAAAGCTGGAGATTCTCTGATGATTATGATCGCCATGAAGATGGAGGTGCGTGAAATCGTGAGCTGAGTGGAGTGATAACCCTTGAGAATTATCACAGCAAACTGTTGCCTTGCCTTATGCTGGAAGTTAGTACCATTTTAAGTATGAAGAGCTGTAGATTGGCTAATCATCGGTTGTAAAACCAAACTGTCACTGGGCGTGGTGGCGCACGCCTGTACGCTCAGCACTTGGGAGGCTGAGGCAGGAGGATCCGTAAGAGTTTGTGGCTCGTCTGGATTATGTTGTGAGACCCTGTCTCAAAAACCCCTCAACTATCCTTTCTGTAAATACATTTTCATTACAGTTTTGTGAAATTGCATTTTCTGATTATGAAATTTTCTGATTATGAAATTATTTGCTGAATGTAACTGTTGCTGTTTTCTACAGCTGAACTCAGGATGCCAGGCGTTACTATCAGTGTATAAACCTGGATCAAATTAAATTAGCTGCTTAGGTTTTGGGGTAGTTAGAAAGTACAGGAGGTGAGTGGTTCTCAACCCTGAATAAGTTTTACCTTCACCCGGCGAGCTTTTCCCAAGTGCTTCCCCAGATAAGTTCCTGGACTGGGATGGCTAGGAGCAGGGCGCAGGGAGCAGCTTCTTTTTTTCCACGCTAGGGACTGAAGGCAGGCTCTGTCCAGCGGGGCAGCGCTGCCCGGGCTCCATCCCTGCCCTCGTGCTCTGCACAAGCTGCCCGGGTGAGGGGCTCGCACAAAGCTGGAGTTGAAAGCTGCTCCTTGGTCCCAGGCCTCACAGCCACGCCCTTGACTGGGTCCCTAGGATGTCTGAGTGGTGACGACCGTAAACGTGGTACTGTGGGCTGAGGTGTGTAAAAAACGAAAAAAAAAAGTCGGGAGGCAGAGAGACTAGAAAACATCCAAACCGTCAGCTGCCTCTTGGCTTTGGCCGTCCTGATGCGGCGGGGACGGGTCCTTGTTGGCGTTGTGACCCTTGCTTGTGTCTCGGCAGCATACCATAAAGGCCCCCCAGGACGGCACGATCAAGAAGGTGCTCTACACGGAAGGGTCGCAGGCCGACAGACACTCTCTCTTAGTGGAATTCGAGGAGGAGGAGGGAGGTGACGAAAGGGAAGCAGAATAAACCTCATCACAGAGACGGCCGCTGGTGCAGAATCTTCTCCACGCCAAACCGAGAAGGTGCCTCTGGCTTCCCCTCGGCTCTCCTAAACAGCAGCTGTGCTGAACACACGATCGTGCGCCTGCGCTAGAGCCCTTGCACTTAGAAGAATCCTGCACTTGGGTCCCAAATGCGATACTAAATTATCTCAAAAGATTTCATACCAATAAAATTGAATTCTACTTTTTTTATTATTAGAAGCGAATGTGGTTTGTTTCTGCCTCTGTAGAATTTTTAGGAAGGTGGTGTAGCAAGTTAGTCAGATGAGAACAACCAAAAGTTAAAGGCCATTGGATTAAGTGAGGTACTTCCCAGTTACGATCATGCTGAGCAGAGGGAATAACGTATTTCAGAGACAGATGCCATAGAGCTAAATTCAGCCAAGACCTTATTTTGCACTGAGTAACTTATGAGGCAGCGTAGAGATAAGGATGTTACTTGTTTCTGGTCTTTGCAGATGGGAAGTTTCTCTTCAGACCGCCTCTGTCTGATTTTTATGACATTATACTTTTTTTTTTTTTTTTTGAGACAGGGTTTTGCTCTGTAGTTCAGGCTGGTCTTGAACTCACGACGTAGCCCAGGCTGGCCTCCAACTCATGGCAATCCTCCTGCCTCAGCCTCCCAAGTGCTGGAATTATAGGCAGATATTATAGTTTCTAACCTTGTTATTAAAAAGTTGTATATTATGCTAGAACACAGTATTAATATTTAACTTGGAAAAACATAATTTTACAGAACTGGGTAAGAGTAGAAAGTTTGAACGCTGAATACTTTTTTCTAGAAACACTTTTCAACTACCTTTGAATTTTATTTCTTTCCTTTTTTATTAAGTTTATTGGGTCGTGAATTTGATTCCTGGTACAAAAAAAAAAAGTTGGGGCTGGGGATTTAGCTCAGCGGCAAAAGCACCTGCCTGGCAAGTGCAAGGTCATGAGTTCGGTTCCCCGTACCGGAGAAAAAAAACCAAAACCAAAACCAAAAAAAAAAGTTTATTGGCACAATTTAGGTACACATAATGATCAGTTCATTATACGGAACCTGTACCTGTACATGATGTATCTTGCTTCCTCTTTTTTTCCCATTCCCCTCCCTTCCCCTCAGTCCCTCTTCCCCTCCATATTTACAAAGTTTTATTTCGTTTAGATTTGAAGTTACTGTATTTTCGTGCACTAAATATTTGCTGAGTTGCATTCTTGCTGAAAGATAGGCTATGTTAACTCTGGCGGCGGCTGCACACACATACAAAAGACAGCTTTTGTACTTTGTGATGCCTGTAGTTTCACTGCAAAAATATGACATAATCATGTTGAGAGTTGTATCATGTAGGAAAACATCAAATCCAGAGTTAGTGGAGCTCCTAGCTGTAAGCAAGCAATCCCATGGACAAGGCAGCAGCGAGAAAGATGCCAGATGCCGAAATCGGGAGCGCTGGGCTTCCAGATACGTCCTGCCGCCCATTTCCGACCCAGGCAGCTGCAACTCAGTGTCCCGCGGCGTGTGGGCCAGGCGAGGCGAGGCTGCTGGGCCTGGTGGGGGGATGCGTGGGTGCTTCCGGGGCTGGTCAGAGGAGCTGCCTCCGCGGCACAGGTGAGGGGGGGCGGTTCACGCAGGTGAGCGCAGGGCCAGGCGGGTGAGGAATCTGTGGACCAGAAACGAAGAGGGGCCAGAGCTTCGCCGTTGGAAATGAACAAGGTGTGTTCTACACCGAGGGCAGATCTGCCGGCCTGAAGTGGGAGGGGCTTCGGGGGATTGCTAGGAGAGCCGCGGGGTTTGGCTGGGGCCACATTGCCACTGGGACGGAACTGCGGTGGGCTGCTGATTACTCTGAATTTTTATTTTTCTTTCTTTTCTTTGAGGCAAGGTTTTACTATGTAGCCCTGGCCTGCCTGGAACTCAGGTGGTCCTCTTGCCTCAGCCTCCAGAGCTGGAATTACAGGCGTGCGCCACCACACGCAGCTTTTAGATGTGCTTTAGTAGATACGTTTCCCCAAAATATCACTGCTTTCCCTGCAAAGGTTCGCTAAGGGAAATTTCTAATTGCTGTCTGCTGCCCTTCCAAGAACGCAGTGTGTGTGCCTCTGCGGGCTTGGTGGAGCGATGTCTCGGAGAGGTGCGCGGAGGGAACGCAAAGCCGCGGGCTCGGGGCGCTGCTGGCTGCTGGGATTCATTCTTCAGTCTCTTCCCAGCTGTGGTGCTGAATGCAAGGAATTCCCTTCACACAAATGCTTGCTTATCCACAGGCGTTTACTTTCTGGCAGGGCCTCCGAAAACAAAGGTGAGACATGACTTCTAGCAGCTGTGGCGGTGCATGCCTGTAATTCCAGCTACTGAGGAGGCTGAGGCAGGAGGGCCAGCGAGTTTAAGGCCAGCCTGGGCAACTTAGCAAGACCCTGTCTCAAAACATACATAAAAAGTACGTACGTACATACATACATACATACATACGAGGGAGGGAGATTTCTGTCCCTGTAGCAGTAACGGGAAATGGATCCAGCCATGTAGGAGGGTTACTACTGGAGGTTAAGGGCAAGTAGCACACTACACCTGTACCCCAGAGGCACGGAGGCTCGGGGAGGGGAGCGACCCTCCTTTGGGTCAGCGCGCTGAAGGAAAGGCCGTGCACTAGACAGAGGCTTTGGAGGACAGCCAGCCGCCAGCTGCTGTCGGCAGGTGGGAAGTGCAGCCGCGAGGCACAGGGACTGCGCAGGAGGGCGGCGTGAGGGTTGCCGGGACTGGGCAGGGGCTGGGGAGGTGGCGGCCGGCCTGACTTCTGAGATTGTCACACCGCACTTTCCGCCACATGCTGTGCAGCGGGAGTGGGGGAGAGTGGAGACCCTGGGCGGGGGCCGGGATGGGCCAGCACAGCCCTGAGACTTCAGAGGCCTTGGGCCTGGGCGCTTAGTGTGTGCAAGGCCACGGGTCCATCCCCAGCACCAGAAACAAAACAAAATTAGGGTGAGATCTGTTTGTAGGCATAGCCCCAAGCAGAGTCACAGTGGGAAAGAGCAGCCTTCTCTCTTCCAGAGGCAGCTGTTCCCCTCTGTGATAACCCAGAGAACACAATCTAAGAGCCCCGATGGTTACCCTGGGTCCCCACACACATGATAAGCGTGTGTTATACCAGTGAGCTCCGGCCTCAGCCCCGTGGTGCTTTTTAATCTGGCACAAGAACACAGAGCATTATACTCAAAACACAACCTTAGAGATAAAGTTCTTCTTGCCTTCGTTCTTGTCGTTTTTTTTTTTTTGAGACAGGGTTTCATCACATAGTCCAGGCTGGCATTGAACTTTCGGTGATCCTCCTGCCTCAGCCTTCCTGGTGCTGAGAGTACAGGTGTGCATCACTATGCCTGGCTCTTGTCTCTTTTTAGCTATAGTGGCTCATTTACCTCTCTGAGCTTCGTCTGTAAAATTGGGGTGGCAAATGTACCTCACAGGGTCATTTTGGGAGTTAAATGACAAAACGTAGCTGTTGTTTGTCTTGAGCCTCGTTGATATTCAACTACTAGTTATTAACTCTTAGTTTTTTCAAGAGAACAGTTAGGAACCTGTACTACATTCAGCCTAGCTGGTTACCCTTCCTGGCAAACACGCAGGCCCTCAGGTAGTGAAAAGATCCTGCCTGGACAAGCAGCAGCCTGTCCTCTCTCACCCTCCCTCCCCCGGCCCTAGCCTGGTCCAGTGTCACCGGGCACCTGTGGGCCACAGGCAGATTTTGCTGCCTCCAGTCTCGCCAACCTGTCACCAGAGCCTACTGCTGCAGGGACAGTGGGTGCCGGGGGCAGCTCGCCTTTGATGTGAAGGCTGGGGCTGGCCTTGCTCCATCCCGCTGGTCAGCTGTCACTCATGTGTGGCTGGCTGCGGGGAGGGGCCTCCCTGTGGCTTCCACCTGGGTGGGGGGCACTTCCATCTCCGAGACAGCAAAGTGGGGTGACCTCCCAGCTGAATGTGTTCCTTCTGCCTCTGCGATCAGCTTCCCTCCTCCCTCTTGTCCACCCGTCCTCTGAGGACCTGCGGAAGCTGAAATGCCTAACCGTGGTGCTTCTCCTGTTGTCCTTAAAATATTTACAGCGCTGATAGTAATACTTTGGGGTTCTGTCGCACCTGGCAGCAGTGGATCTCCAAAAGCACTCCTAGATATTCACACTATGCTTCACAACACCCCGGGAGGCCAGTCCCGGCTCTGGGGAGGCTGAGGCAAGAGGATTACTGTGAGTTTGAGGTCCGTCTGGGCTACATGAGGGAGTTTAAGACCAGTGTGAACTAAAGAATGAGACCCTGTCTCCAAACAAAACAAAACAAAACAAAACAAAACAAAACAAAAAACCACCCCGGAATAGAGGAAAATGTGACTCAAACTGTGTGCGAGAAGGGAGGAGATGGATGTCCCAACGCTTTCACTCCAGGCCCATGCAGGGAGCCTGGGATCGCCGGTCCTTTCTGCTCCCCAAGGGCTTGCAGCGCGAGGGTGGGGCGCGCAGGGCAGCCGGGAGGCCCGGCGGGGTGCAGCAGGCTTGTCCACCTCCCCACACCCGCTGTGAATAGCCCTGGGAACACCATTTCTCCGGCACGCGGGGTGCCCCATACCCAAGATGGATCTGTCACCCTGACATTTGTCTCCCGTCTGCTGGAGCCAGGGGGACCCGAAAAACGCGGTGCCTCTGAGCCGCGCAAGGCGCACACGGAGGGGAGCGCGAAGGGCCGCCCGCTCCTGAGGACAGATTCCTTAAGGGCGCGCACTCTCCTCACTAGCTTTTGCTAAACCTTTCCATTCGGTTGGGCGTAATTCTCAAGGGGTGGGGTTACAGCTCAGCGGGAGAGCGCGCGCTCAGCATGTGCGAAGCTCTGGGCTCAATCCCTAGCATCCTTCTCAAAATAAAGTAAGATAAAAATTTTAAAATAAAACCAGAAAGGATTTTCATTCCAAAGTCTCCCACCCCCGCAAAAAAAAAAAAAAGCCCACGAACTTGAGACTTGTTCCGTGTGTGTGTGTGTGTGTGTGTGTGTGTGTGTGTGTGGGTGTGTTTGAGACAGCATCTCCTTATGTAGCCCCGGCTGGCCTTGAACACGAGGTGATCCCCCTGTCTCAGCCTCCCAACAGCTAGGATTACAGGCTTGCACTACCCCAATTATTCTATCGTTACCAACTCTATCACAAAATTCCTTTTTTTTCCTTTATGGAAAGCAGGTTTCCTCTTTA